CACTAAATATATCATAAATTTGACTCTACATACTTCAGAAGTGAAACTGAAAATAAAACATAACAAATCATTATGCAGTAGCATAATGCATAGCAACTGAGATTTTTTTTTTTTTTTTAAATCATAAAAAATCAAAAATATTTTTTGTTGAAAAAATGTTTTTTTTTAATAGATTGTTTGAAAAAGAAATAGGTCAATTTAGATGAAAAAATAAAATTAGGCCGTACTATTTCATTCCAGAGAAAAAGTCCACGATAAGATATACAAAATTGAGCTTATTTATTATTGCAAAAAGGTTTTTCTAAAAAGCTATAGCTTTTTAGAAAAACCTTTTTGCAATAATAAATAAGCTCAATTTTGTATATCTTATCGTGGACTTTTTCTCTGGAATGAAATAGTACGTAATAATATATTATTACGTAAGTTATATTTGTTTTGGGTTTTAATTTTGTAAAGGTTTACAAATACATCGGGGGACATAAGTTCTTTACATATGTACATAAAACACAAAACATTAAATACATTTAGTTGATAAACATTTAAAACGTGCATTTCTTTAAAAAGAGTTCGAAAAACGATTTTTAAAATTTATTATGCGAGCTGCGTGTTTCTGATGCCGATAAAGAGATTTAAATTTAGTTTTATGTGTACTTCCCCATATAATATATGCATAATTGATATGACAGTGAATAAAAGAGTAATATAATTGTGTTAATTGCTTTTTGTTTAAAATACCTCTAGATTTGTATAGAATTTCAATGTTTTTTGCAACTTTATTAGAAATATTATTGATGTGTGACTTCCAGGACAAATTTTCTTTAATAAAAATTTCTAAAAATTTTGTCACTTTTTCTCTTTTTAGAATGACATTGTCTATAAAAAGATCAGACATATTTACATGCGGTATCTGCTTTTTATAGTTTGGATGGAAAAGTATCCATTTTGTTTTTTCAATATTTAAAGATAGCCTATTTTTTTTGAACAAAATTGAAATTTTTTTAAGTTCTTTGTTCATATTATTAAAAAGTAGGTTTATACTTTCATGTGACTCAAACAAGTTTGTGTCATTTTCAAAAATTATAGTCTTTAAATTGGATTCTTTGTTAAGATCATTTATATACATAACAAAAAGAAGTGGTCCAAGTATGGATCCTTGTGGGACACCATATGTTATGTTCATTAATGTTTGATGTTGGGAATCTTTATTAAAAACAAACTGCTTTCGGTTGGAGAGATAATATTTGAACCAACATAGAGTTTTACCTGCTATGCCATAACATTCAAGTTTTTTAAGCAAAATATTATGATCGACCGTGTCAAAAGCATTTGACAAGTCAATGAAAACACGATGTGTAAACTTTTGATTTTTAAAAGATTCTTTAATATAACATGTTAATTGAAGAATAGCATGTTCGGTTGAGTTGTTTTTTTTAAAACCGAACTGATTTTCATAAAGAAGCTTATTGGTAGTTAGGTATGTGTACACTCTGTTATACATTATTCTTTTTAATATTTTTGAAAAAACTGGAAGAACAGAAATAGGTCTGTAATTTGTTATATTGGTCGGGTCTCCTGTTTTAAAAATAGGAATTACTTTTGCTATTTCAGAGAGTCTGGGAAAGAACCTTGTTTAATGGATAATTTAAAGATTTTGTAGAGAATATTCTTCATGACATCATAAGAGTCTATTACAATATTTCCATTTATACCATCAGGTCCTACTGATTTATAACGATCTAAAAGATTTATCAAATTCCTCAAGCGTTAGGTTTGTAAAATGTAAGGAGTTTGACGTTTGAAGTTCATCTGTTAATTTATAATTTATTAAAGGAATTTTGTTTGATAAATTTGTTTCTATAGTGGAAAAAAGTTTGATAAATTCAGTCGCAATTTTATTAGAATCATTAGTTATTTTATTTCCAACTTTTATTACAAGTGGAAGAGAAGTTGAAATTACTTTTTGCTTTCCTGTAATTTCTTTCATTAATTCCCAGACGCGTTTTAAGTTATGTTTGCGCTGAGTAAGCAATTTAGAATAATATTTTTTTTAGCATTTTTGCGGAGTTTTTCAAACAGTTTTTTGTAGTTTTTGTAATTTTGTTTATGTTTTTCAGATTTTGTTTTTAAGTATTTATTATACAATTTTTGTTTTAGTTTTGAAGACTTTTTTAGTCCCTTAGTTATCCAAGGAGATAATATGTCTTTGGCTTTGAGATTTATTTCACATATTGGAAAATTAGCGTCATAGATGTATATATCTGAAGTAACAAAAAATTTTTTGTCTTATTTTTTTACTTTTCTTGTTTTTATTCTTTTTTTTAAAAAATACTGGCAGTTTTTATGAAACACTATTAATTTATGCTATACTTAGTTATACTTGTTAAACCAATTATTATGATATGTTATACTTGGTATTATTATCATATATTTTTTACGTTGGATTATATAATGTCATGTAGTTATAACGTAACGATGTGTAAATTTATTGAAGTTGTAAAAAAAAAATAATAAAAAAAAATTATATATATATATATATATATATATATATATATACACATTGTACAGCATTTATATCGATTTGACGAATGCATCTTTTGATTCGGGTAATCAATTGTTTGCAATTCTTAGCTTTCCAGTTGTTTTTGTATACTAAAGAACTAAAATACCCAAAGAAATCTTCAATTGGGCGACACTGAGGCAAGTTTGTCGGACTGCGGTTTTTTCGTATATATGGAATGTTTTGGCTTTCCAAGAAGACTTGTGTTTTTTTTTGGCATAATGTGATGATGCTTTATCCGGCCAAATCAAGTAATAGCCATCTGAATGATATTTTTAAAGAAATGGAATCAATATTTTCTTCAAACATCGATTTTTGTATACTTTTTAACTAATAGCCAAACCACTTGGCTTAAACAATGGCTTAGAAATTTCCCTCTTAGATATGGCAATGTACAGCATCGTTTTCTGCCCAAACTTATGTTTGTGCCAAATTTATGTTATATTTGTATTTTACTTTTGTAGGTGTTGTAGAACTTTTATCTGCATACTACCGAAACGCAAGTTCCTGGAACTTGCGTTTTGGAGAGAGGGAAGTAACTTTCGTCATCCAAAACAAAACATTTTACAGAGTAATTTCGGGCATTGAGATTTCACAGTTGATATTTTTTGCTCAGTGTATTCTGGTGTTCTTGTTTTTTTTTCGGCAGACTATTCCTGGCTTTTTCAACGATTTACAGATATTAGGCTATGTAAAACCTTTCTATTGTTGAAAGTGCCGCGAAGCAAACGAAGTCCCTTCTTGTTCATTATTTTAGATGGTCTTCCACTACCACTTTTACGATTGGTTGTCAAAGATGCCAAAATACGGTAAGTAGTTGAAACTAAAATATTTTCGGTTGTAAAACGATTCACAGTAAACTTTTTTCTGAGATTTTCGTGCATTCGATAGAACTGTACAATGCGTTTGCGTGGTACATCTTGCTTTGACGGCATTTTCAAAACTGAATTAGCTGATGCAAAACTGCATATGCATGTTGCAAAACTTAGCGTGATGCAAAACTGCATATGCATAAAATGCATATGTTTATATGATAAGTTTGTAAACAGAGAGTAAAATTTCACATAGGAGAACTTTTCTTTTTTTGACGTTTGCGGTTTGGTTTCGAGGGTTAGAATTAGTCTCAAACTTTTTTTATTTAGAGTTGAAATAAAACCTTCGTTTTGCCGTTTTTATTTTAATTATTTTAATTTAAAAACGTTTTTTTTTTTTTTTTTGCCGTTTAAGACATTTTTCTTTGAACTATTTTAATAAAAACTCAATAATAAAAAAATTCAATAAATAAAACATTCGTTTTACTGGTTTTAATTTAATTACTTTATTTAGAATTTAAATAAGTTTTTTGTTTGTTTATTTGCCGGTTTTATTTAAATTAGAACTTTCTTTTTTTTTAAATATCTTCTGTTCCAACAAGGTTGCAAGCAACTACTATTGAAGTTGGAAGTTACTGGAAGAGAAAAGATGAAATTTATAAAACAAGATAACGATTAACAGACAACTTTAAAGATCCCAAATTATATGAATCAGGAAAACAATATGAAGGGAGCTAATTCCGAATGACTGATGTTCCAGGAAAAAAAACTAGTTAAGAATTTTTGTATGGTTTGGTTGGCTAGATTTGTTTCGGGATTAGAAGTTTTTACGCTGATTTCTTGTAATATAACTATAACAAACAGATACGATCACATACATAATTGCTGTTTCCGCGGGAGAGTGCTTTTGTTTGTGGTTTATATCTGAGCTAACTTATGTATAATTGTCCTCGGACATTCAATACTTTTATTCTTTTTTATAAATAAGAACTTTTGGAGCACTTAGGAACAGTAACAGTAAAACAATGAGACTTAATTAAATGACGATAAACACAAGAATTAATTTTAGCGGATGGCACAAGAGACGCTAGTTCTTTAGAGCAGCGCCCATCATAGTATATAAAAAAAGAAAAAGAGAAGCAACATTACAATGGTGACAATAGTTGAAGGTTGGCTGGAAGATCCAATTATGCTTACAATGTCTTTTTGCACCTCGTCTAAAAGAGAAAGAGCATCATTTGAAGATCCGCTCCAGATATGGCAACAGTATTCCATACAAGGACAGATTTAAGTTTTAAGGTCGGTCAAATTACTATAAAAATTTGCACTAGCTTTAAACCAACTAATTAAGACTGTTCCACAATTTAGAAAGATTTTCGGCTTGGTTCTCCCTTTAGCTCGTCTATTATACCTCCTTGATGAAAGCCGTATGGTCAGATTTAAGATAATTGCGACAAATATTCATTAAACTGTATTTGCCATTTTAAAAAACTCCCGGTTTTCCCGTAGAATAAAACGATGTTAAATAATATAATTTAACACTTTCAAAGTTTTTTTTTAAAAGTGAAAAATTCCACCGTTTCCGTAGAATACAGGCAATGTTTGACATTAACTTTAATTAATAAAAAATATTCAAAAGAAAAAATATCTAACGCAAGTAGCATTTTTGCTCCTACTCATACAGGCTATAATAAAAATATAAAATAAAAACAAAAACAAAAAACGATCCGCGTTCAAACTTGTTGAAATTTAGCACATTACGAATCTTGAATCTTCAGCAAATCGCGAATTTTCAGTGCCTTAATTTATCTAGTCGTTTGTAAATCGCTCGGGCTGATTTCCTTAACGTTACCTGCGTCCATTAAAAATATCCTTTCGCAATTTCTGATAGTTTCCAACCTAAAAATGTTAATGTTGATGTAAAAATGTTAAAAAGAGTTAATAATATTTAACATTATAAATATTTTAAACTTTACAAAGATTTTATAATTTATTTTGCAACAACAAAAATAATTAAAAAAATTTAACAATCAATTAATTTATTAGAATTTAAAATAATTTATAATTTATTTGAAATAAATAACCAACACTTTATAATAATCACAAAACTTTTTTTACATTGCTTCTTCAGATTTTTCTGTTTGTATTCAGGAAAAAAAATTTGTTTAAAAAAGATTTTATAAATAATGATGCTTGCGGCACCATCATTTATTTTTGTTTTACAGACTCTAACATGCAAAGTATAATGAAGCTTACTTATCATACTAAGCTAACAGGAAACTGGGACTGAAACATTTACTTTATTATTTTAGTGCAAAGTGCTGCAACCTATGTGGAAATAAGAAGTATAATACCTATGTGCTATGGTTAATACTGTGCTGTTCTGGAAAGCAGTAGATAATGTTTTCTGAACAAGTTGTTCGGTAGAAACATCTATGTTAGACGTCGCTTCATCAATGCAGATGATCTATTGATATTAAGGTAATATTATAATATTAAGTACTAAAGACAAAGAAAACGTATTAACGACTGAGGATTGCCGCTAGACACAAGACAAGCAGAAATAATTTTAAATATAAATAACCATCACTTACCTTAGTGTCTGCTAATAAAGCTCGTGCAAGACAAAACAGTTGTTTTTGGCCGCAAGAAAGATCACAGCCAGCGGAGCTTAATTGACCGTCCAAGCCACCTTTTTAGAAAAAACAAACAAACAAGCATTTAGAAAACATCAAAAAGATATATCCAACAAGATCAAAAAGATATGTCAAAAAGATATATCCAACAACATCATAAAGACATATCCAACAACAAATTTATTGATTTGTTATTAAATAAAAATAAACACTCTTAATCATACTTAATAATAAAATAATTTGTTGTCCCTGTATTCATATTTTTATTTGTTGTTCCTGTAATTCATGTTTTTGTTTTTTTTATAAACTTGATAGGAAAAAAACGAACAACAACAAAAAATAAAAATAAAAACCGTTATTTAATTTAAACATTACTTATTTATTTTTATTTTAAGATTCCCTGCATAATTTGCCTTTATTAAGTGTGCAAGATCTTCATCAAATTTTTGAAATATTTTAATAATATAATTATTATTAAAATTCAAGCAATATTATTAATATTGCTTGAACGTTTTAAGTATTTTACTTTAGATGTTTTAACTCAAGTGTAATTTCACTGTTCGCTTCAAAATTCATTACTCAAAAAAAGAAAAATTTTTTATTTTATTTTAGGAGTACTTTTTAAAGAAAAAATTTTAAAGGAAAAAATTTTCTTTAAAAAGTATTTATAAATAAAGGGAGCTTGCTGAACCATCATTTATTTTTGTTTTACAGACTCTAACAAGAAAAGTGTAATGATGATTACTCATCATGCTAAGCTAACAGGAGACATGAATTAAAACATTTACTTTAATATTATTAGTATTGTTACTATCAATTTATTAAGTTTTCATTTTACTTTCTTTTATACAAGTTAAAACTTATATTGCATTTTTTTAAATAATTTAAAGTTTTTTAACTTAAAACTAAATCACCTTTGCAAAACACAAAAAAGTTTAAACATGCTGCTGTAATAAAAAACAACAACAAAAAAAACCCGGTGAATAATAATGAAGTTAGACAATAGCAAAAAATCAGACTAATAGCAAAAAATCAGCCTTAATCTATGTGAACAACTTTGGGCATTCATGAAAACAATGTATACAATGGATTTATATGAAGGTTAAAAAATTGATATCAAAAGTATAAGAGGTATACAGTTGTAAAAAAACTTACCTCGTTTTATAATTTCATTAAGTAAGTTACATTTATCTAAAACATAGAGCAGTTCACCAGGTGTATGTTGACCATATGGATCTAAATTATTACGTATAGTATCCTCAAAGAGAAATGGCTTTTGAGGTACAATCGCAATTTGAGACCTAGTGGTTTAAGAAATGTAAATATATAAAATATGTAAATATGTAATACAAATATGAAAATAAGTAAAATTAATAAATTTTAACAAATAAAAAAAAAGAAATGTATCTCAATCAACAAAATTCATTCAGTAACATTCATTCACTTCGACCAACAAAATTTTATAATGTTCAATTAAAAAAAAAAAAAAATCTGAATTAATAAATGTAATTAATGAATGTAAATATAAAAACTATTTCACCTTAACATATTAGTTGCATATTTAGAAATATCAACATCATCTATTAAAATAGATCCATGGGTAAGCTCTGCTGTTTTAAACAATGCAGCAAACAAACTACTCTTTCCAGCTCCAGTGCGACCACATATTCCAATCTATTTAATTAAAATTGAATTTAAACACAAACTTAAATGTAAATAAGTATATATAAAATACAACAACCTGTTCACTAAAGTTCACAGTAAAAATATCACAATCTTTTTATCAGTGTTATGAGTAAAAAAAAATGTGACAACCTTCTCACCAGCATTCACAGTAAATGTTACATTAAAAAGAAAAATATGACAAACTTCTCACCAGCATTCAATATAAATGTCAAATTAAAAAAGAAGTATATTACAACCTTCTCACCAGCCTTCACAGTAAATGTTACATTTTCCAATGCATTAGTAGAGCACTCCCTGCAATTCAAAAACTTGTAAATTTAATTTATAAATATTGAAATATGAGAATGGTTAACTATTTTAATTAAATTTATAAAGTTATTAATACAGTATATATATATTTATATATATATATATATATATATATATATATAAATAAATACATATATATACATATATATATATATATATATATATATATATATATATATATATATATATATATATATATATATATATATATATATATATATATATATATATATATATATATATATATATATGTATGTATGTATAGGGAAACACGGGGCAAGATGACGAACGTTTCGAAAAAAGCCTATATCTTAGTCAACAACTGTCCCAAGATTCAAAACTTGATTTAGAAGTAATAAAAAATCATTCCCTGTCACTGATGTATCAAAAAATCACTATAAGTTTAAAATAGCTGAGGAAAAATTCATTAACCGATGTTAACTCAAATTGTCATCTTGTCCTGCATACGATGATGATTTAAACAAAGTTTAAGACTTTAAAAAAAGAAAACCCTACGAAGCTATAAACGCCTCAAAAACCATCATCACAAATTCTTGTTTGTAAAAAAAGTAACACAAACAGAAGTGTAATTTTTAAAACTAATAAATTATGCTTATATCGGACTATGCAAAAAAAAAAACAAAAAACAATAACCTAGTAATCAGTTTGTAGCAAACTCTAAGGCAACAAAATAAAACTATTTTAAACAAAATATTTCATTTTGTAATAACATCGGAAAAATCTTTTCAATACTTTACTTTCGTCACAAAAATAATATTTAAAAAGGAAGCATAAATAAATCTTGTAAATATAATCTATTTCCTTTCAGCTAAAGTCAGCTGTTATATTTAGTTTTGCTTAAGAGATAATGGTAGGTCGTCATCTTGCCCCATTTATCATCTTACCCCATGTATGTACAGATATATATACATATATATATATATATATATATATATATATATATATATATATATATATATATATATATATATACACATACATACATATATATATACATATATATATAAATATATATATATAAATATATATATATATATATATATATGTATATATATATATATATATATATGAGAGAGAGTATATATGTATATATATATCTCTCTCGCATATATATATATATATATATATATATATTATATTACCTAGATTGAAATAAACATATATATATATATATATATATATATATATATATATATATTATATATATATATATATATATATGTATACATGTATATGTATATATATATATATATGTATATATATACATATATATATATGTATACATGTATATGTATATATATATATATATGTATATATATATATATGCATATATACATATCTGTATGTGTGTGTGTATATATGTATATATACATATATATATATATATATATATATATGTATATATATACATATATATATATGTATACATGTATATGTATATATATATATATATATGTATATATATATATATGCATATATACATATCTGTATGTGTGTGTGTATATATGTATATATACATATATATATATATATATATATATATATATATATATATATATATATATATATATATATATATATATATATATATATATATATATATATACATATATATACATATATATACATATATATATATATATATATATATATATATATATATATATATATATATATATATATATATGTATATATATATATATATATATATATATATATATATATATATATATATATATATATATATGTATATGTATATATGTATATATATACATATCTGTATGTGTGTGTATGTGTGTGTATGTGTGAGTGTGTGTGTGCGTGTGTGTAAAAATATCAAAATTGATATTAAAACTTTTACCTGTATTTTAAAAAAACATTGTTAAATGATATTTTACCAGATGAAATAAAATAATTACTGCACAAATCCTAGAATAAAATAAACATAGATATAAATATTTAAAATCTCTTGAATCTTATGATCTTGTTTAATTCTATTGTCATCGCAAAAATCTTTTATTATTTTTTAATACTTTATTTTAATTATTTATGTTAAAAACTATTATATTAGTATCTTAATTTCAATTGTTTTTAAATATTGAAGTATAAACTAAAAAAAAAATAAATAAGCAAAAAGATTAAAAATGAAACTTTAAATAACTAGAAAATGTAAAATATTTTTATTTATGCAAATTTTCCTTTGAAACATAAAGCAATTCCTATAAACTTAACAAACACTCTTACATTAAAATTCACAACCCCCTAAGTTCACAACCCCCTAATTTCCATTCACATTTCACAGTACTTTTAATTATTTTATATTTTACAGCTGTTAATGGGATTAGCCACTCTGAAAGCTACTATCAAGTTAAGAAACCTTACAACCAGTTGGCTTCAAAACCATTGAAGGCCAGCCTAACAGATGAAAAAGTACAAAACTGATCAACAAATTTTCTGCTTACCCCTATTGTTTTTGTATAAGAAGCCTTCTACTAGACAGTAGCTTAGGGTTCTTTTATTTTTTAAAGTATTTTATGTCAAAGTTAACTTCTTGTAGCCTTTGGCTATAAAAGCAAATCCTACAAGGTAGCATGACATGGAGCACGTTGTACTGGATTACAGGTTCCAGTAACAGGGTGATCATAATGACCCATAGCATATCAAAACTAAGTCATTTACTGCTAATTTTCAAATATGTAACTAACAGAAATACTAGGATTTCAATTAATGTAACATGAGCTAAAGTTTCAAATTGAGTAAAGTTGCAAGTTTATTAAGTTGTAATTATTTCAAAGTTGTATTTGATGATATTTTAAACATAAAATTTAGTTTTTCATACTTTAAATCATAAGATTAACAAAATTGTCTCTAAGCACCTGGGTCTAAAAGCAATGAAATTAGATGAAGCAGTAAAAATTATTGCTTTGATAAAACCAATACAATCAAAAATATCATATTTTGCAAAACTCAGTGTGAATCAAAACAGGTTTTATTTTTGCTTGTAAAAATCGATACAAAATGAAACATAGTTAAATATATAAAAAATAAATTAGTAAAAATCAAAACAAACAAGTTTTTATTTTTATTTTTAAAACTGTATTCACCAGTCTAAAGCATAGATTTTTTTTAAAACTGTATTAACCTATCTAAGGCCTATAATGGCTACATCAACAGCCAAAAAGAAGCTCCTTTATTGCAAACTTTAGGGAAGCCATTAATAAATGACATTATCATTTGTTTGTAGTTAGAAATGCTAATATCAAAAATTTGAATTTATTGATGTTTATAAATGAAATTAATCCAACAATTCTCAATTCTCTTATGTTAAGAGAACAATTCTCAATTCTCTTATGTTATCTTTTAAGTTTTTAAGAAAAAAAAAAAAAAAAAAAAAAAAAACTTTTTAAAAATATGTTTGAAATGTTATTAATGTAAGTTCTACTTGGAAATATCCTTCATTGTGTGCGTTTTATGTTAAAACTTGTCAATTTTAGGGCATTAAGAAACTCTTAAATATATGGGAGATAAAGATAATATGTTGACTTGATTTTTAGGTAGATAAACATAATATGTTGAATTGGTTATTAGGTATATAAAGGGAATATGTCAAGGTTGTATACAAGTATGTTGGTAGATACAAGCTTTTTTGGGATTCAAGTTGACCTATTTTTGAAAGAATTTCACTAATATTATCAACCAGTAATGAAGAGAATTTGTTTTTTAAACTTAATCAAAATGAGAATAAATATTATAAATATATTTTAATATAAAAAATATAAATGGTGTAAAAAATTTTGTTTAAGTTTTAAAAATATAGTACAGACAATAGCACACAGATCTAACAGAAAATTTTTTTTTGGAGATATACCCTATTCTATGGCTTCAGCACACACTCACTGCAACACGCACTCAAAAACACCATTTTACTTTATGTAATACAAAAGAAAACCTGAACTTCTTCATTCTCATTATCATCAATATACTCTGTTAATCTTTCAACAGAAACCATTTCTTTTTCAGTTTCAGTAAGAGATGTAACAAGCCCATTTAAACGATCAGTCAATGACAATGCATATGATATTGCTAGTCCAACAAGACCTAAAGCAAAAAAAAATTTCAGTTAAACTGTGTAAACTACTATAAAATGTTTAAATAATTATTTGATGAAATTTTTTAAATCTATTTTAAAAATTTTCTAGAATTATAGTAATTATTGGTATTTAAAAAAAAAATTATTTTCCAAAAGGATCAAATAATTTTTAAAATAAAATTTTAAAAACTGTTTTAAAAAATATTCTTTTGCTTCTTCCTAATTGATTGGTTGACAGAAGTTGATTGATTGAGAGAAATAAAAAACAAATTATCTTAAGATAAAAATTAAATATGTTTTTATTAAAAAATTATGATCAAACATCAACATACCAGCATCAATACTACTCAAATGTCGTTGTACTACAGATAATAATGCCACAGAAGTAACCATGGCTATTCCTATTGCATTTAACCTCATTAGAAGCCACTGTGACGCAACCAAACCTGTTTAAAATCAAGGATGATCAAACTTATTGCAAAAATACAAAGTATAGAAAAAATTATAATAATAATTCAATTAAAAAATAATTCTACAAATAAAATAATTCATGACATTTTTTAGTAAAGTTGACCACACTAAAAACAACATTTGATCATGTTACTGAGGCTAAGAAAAAGTAGACTTTTAAAAAAAATAGTTAGATAGCCATTATTCTGACAAACAAAACAAGATCTTATTTGTGAAATACTGACAAATATTTTTTATTTTATAGCTTTTACATCAATGATAACATTTCACTAATAATCGATTTACTGTTTTTTATCTGGGACTGAAAGGGTTTAGACATCAAGAAAAAAATCCCTTAAATTAGTTTTGTTCTTTGTCATACTTGAGCTTTTAAATTTTTTCTTTCACTTGAACTCTTTCTTAACATTTTTTGTCATCCTTGATGAGCTAAAAGCAACCTTTTAAATAGAGATTTACTAGTAAATTGCTTGCGGGTTTGTTTTTTAAAATAAAATTTTTTCATTAACAAATTTTTTCATTTTTAAAATAGCCTAATTTTGCTTGTGGGTTAGTAATTTTATTTTAATATAATTTTTTCTTTTAATAAAATTGAAAAAATAAATTAAAACATAATTTTTTTTAATATTAATATAAAAAAATATAACACATGGGAGAACAAGGGTGGTAATGCAAATAAAATATTTGTATTTCATGTATGAAATATTTTCATGTAATGTAAATGTTATTTTACTTTGATATAAAAAATTTTTATCCTTAAAAAAAAAATACTCTGCTCCTTTAATCAGAAAATACTCCGTTTCTGTAATAAAGATAAAAAGCTCGATTTAATTACAAATGTCTAGACAAACGCGTTGCTAAATATCGTAACTCTCTGTAAAGTCTAAAAAGTAGAAAATAAAGTATAGCAAAAACATTTGCTCAAAAATATAATCTTTTTTGTACTAAAAAGTAGAAAATAAAATTTTTAATTTAAATTTAATAGTTCAGTGAACTAAAGATTGACAGGTATGTTTCTATATAAACTTTGCACAGACCTTTAGGTTTACTGAACTATTAAATTTAAATTAAAACTTATTTTCTACTTTTTAGTACATAAAAGATTACATTTTTGAGCATATGTTTTTGCTATATTTTATTTAGATTTTCAGACATATTGGAACAAATTGGACACATTTCATCAAAGTTTTAAAAACTTGAAAAACTACTATTTGTTACTTTTTACTAACTTTTATAGTTTATCTACTTTTAGATTATAATTAACAAAAATGTCTTTAAAAAAAAAAGCTCATTCACTCTTTACCTTACTTCATATCTTACATTCACTGTTTAAACATTTACTTTATAACTAAGGATAATCATTTTTTATTTTTCATAAAAAAAAGCAACTAGTTTTTTGTTTTTACTTAACCAAAAATAAATAATATAATAAGAATAATATAAATAAGAACTATAAAAATGTATTAGAGTTGTAATAATCTGTCCATTTTATTTTAACAAAATGCTTTGTCAATGTTAAGTTTGCCTTTTATTTGTTTTTGTTAATATGCATTTTACAAATGGCAAAAAAAGTTAAATAAGTTAATACAAACCTGCATAATTAGCTCGTTGGTTTGAGTCCAGAAACATTTTGTTTTCCCCAATAAATCTGTTACTATGCTTCAAAGCTCGTATAATTGTAATTCCAGACAACGTTTCTGAAAAATGTTCATATATTGGGGATAAGGTAATTGAACATATGCGTTTCAGTTCTCTAGAGAAAACTCATTTTTTTAAAATTTCTATATAAGAAATTTACTGCATCATATAATTTCTAAATCAATTTTCATATTTATAAATTATTATCAAAATTATATATACTAGGTTGGTTGAAAAGTTCGCGGAGCGGAAATGAAAAAACAATTTTATGATTCAAAAAATGACTTTATTCTTCAGTATATTCTCCCTTAAGAGCAATACACTTTTTCCAACGATTCTCCAATTCATGTATCCCATCTCTGAAGTGCGATTCCGGAAGGCCTTCAAAATACCCATTTACGGCTGCAATGACTTCTTCATGTGATGAGAAACGCTTTCCACGTAGAAATTTTTTGAGATGTGGAAAAAGGTGGAAGTCGGACGGAGCCAGATCTGGTGAATAGGGTGGATGTTCCAAGCGTTCGTACTTTAATTCGACCAATTTCGCCTTTGCAACATCGCTGATATGAGCAGGTGCGTTGTCCTGGTGATAAATGATTTTTTTATGCAGCAAACCAGGTCTTTTCTCACGAATTTTTTTATCCAACTGGTCCAAAAGATTTTTATAATATTCACCTGTTATCGTTTTACCGGTTTGAAGGTAATCTATTAATAAAATTCCTTTCGCATCCCAAAAAACTGATGCCATAACCTTCTTTGACGATTTTGACGCCTTCACTTGCTTCGGAGCTGAACAACCGGGTTCTGTCCACTCTGCAGTTTGTTGTCGCAGCTTCGGATCATAGTGGTAAACCCAAGTCTCATCCATGGTTACGAATTGACGCACAAAATCTGTTTTATTCTTTTGAAAACGGGCCAAATGTTCTTGAGAAAGTTTTACTCGAGTGCGTTTCTGATCCAGAGTTAGCGAATGCGGCACCCATCTTGCCAACAGCTTTCTCAGACGTAATTCATCGTGCAAGATGTGTAATACCCGTTCATCTGAGATGCCCACAGCCTCAGCAATTTCACGTTTGGTCAATCGTCTATCATCCATAACCATGTCATGCACAGCATTAATCGTTTCTTCAGTAGTAGCACTTTTTGGACGTCCAGAGCGAGGGTCATCTTCAAGGCTTGAACGCCCACGTTGAAACTCCGCAGCCCATTTGCATACTGTTGTTTTTGAAGGAGCATCATCACCCAACACATTTACCATTTCATTATGAATTTCCATGGGCTTTAAACCTTTTTTCACAAAGAATTTTATTACAGCACGATGTTCAATATTTTCCATTTTAAAAAATACTATGACACGTCTAATTTCAATAGCTTGTAAACAAAGACTGAAATGACATATCGACTTGAAATTTTTTATGCGTTCATACGAAGAATGAATACGTTTAATACAGTTATAAATTTGTTTCTACTACTGCAACATAGGTGCCGCTCCGCGAACTTTTCAACCAACCTAGTATATATATATATATATATATATATATATATATATATATATATATATATATATGTGTGTGTGTGTGTGTGTGTGTGTGTGTTCTATCTAGTATAAAAACACTGGGTTTAAATTTTTTTGAACAAAAAATATTTTAAGGGGTCCCTCAAGACCCTCGAATATTTAATGGTCCCTAATACTAAAAATAAAAAAAGTTTTTCAAAAATATGTCAACCTGGTTGGGTTGATGTGAACAGTAAGAACACTTTTTCAGAAGAAAAAAGTTCAAGACTAGTTCTTTACCTACTTTTAAGAAGTAGAGATCATTAATAGTTCTACTTGTGGCCCAAAAGACTGAATTGGCATAATTAAATTAATGAAATATTCCATTTCAGTTCCAAATGTAGAGATAGAGAGACTTCGATTTTCAAATTCAAAGCTTGCAAACGTCTAAGAGCCAAACACTTTTGCTATATCCCAAGCATTGGAATCAATAAACCCTTATTATAGAAGCAATTTTTTTTTGTGATCAGAATATTTCAAATTAATCAATATGTTCTTAGAGAGCTAGCTTGAAGTCCAAAGTGCGAGTAAATAATAATCAATTACACATGAGTTCGATAGTTTCACTGACTTTTTAAAATTCAATTTTATAAGCTTTTCTCTCCATTAAGGAATTTTACTTAAAAAACAACGAGTTTTTACTTTGTTTTTTGTTAACTTTCAATTTCTTTGGATTGACTTGCATACCAGATAGTGAACGCTTTGTATTCTTGATAGATTTATCTTAATCTATGCTTGAATGATCATCAAATGACTCAGAAGAAGAAACTAAATTAATTTTAGGCTTCTTTTTTAAAAATCTTTTGAAACTTTTTTGACTCGTAAACTTCATCTTCCGAAGATTCAATTTGTGTCAACATTGAAGTTTCTGGTTTGGCGCTATTATTAAAAAAGAATGTTAGTAATCCAGCTGAATTTGGAAGAATCTATAAGTATTTTCCACATGCTAAATAATAAATTACATTAGGGATATGTGCGCAGCAACTTAATATTCTCATGCCGGAATTACAAGTACAGTACTAGTGTTGCAAAAAAACGCGTTTTTTTGCTGTCACGTTTTTTTCACCCAAAAAAACATGTTTTTTTTACATTTTTTTGGATTTTTTTAAAACTCTTATGGTATATTTGTTTACTAATTTTGTGTAAACAGAGTGTTTAGCCAAAGTCGTATAAAAATATTTGTTTTTTTGATTAGGAAAATAGCTAAACAGTTATATATTTTTTTTAAATTTCAAGATTTTTGCCTCTAAAAAATTATTTATTTTCCTTATATTAAACACGAAAATGATTATCTTTTTTTATTTTTGCAAAGCAGTGTTTTATATAATAAATATATTTCTTTCATATAATAAAAATATTTATTTAGATAATTCTGATTCATTCCATTAAATAATACATTTATTATTATTCAAAAAAAAATTATGGATTAATGAAAAATTTAATGAACATAAGTTGAAGAAGTTGAAAAATAATTTTGTAATTTTAAAACCAGTGACAGATCCAGGGGAAATGAGAGGTATGAACCTACCACCCCGCACCAGAATCCATAAATTTATAAAATATCTTTAAATTTAAAAAATTTTTTTTAGTAGGCAAAAATGTGATACAAAATAAACTAAATTTTTAACAAGCCCTGATTCCCCCTCACACCCACACCAAAAATTCCCGGATCTGACTTATTTTGCGATGCAGTGTTACTTCATTCATATAATAAATTCTTAAAACAGTTCAATATTAAAAAAGATACAATTCATGCCCTTTACTTATAAAAATTTACTTCTTTGTCTTTACTTATAAGAATTATTATTAAAAATTATTAAAAAAAAAAAAAAAAATTGTTTTTCTAATTAATGCTGCTTTTTCAAATTTTTTTTTTTTTTTGAATAATTGAACAATTGCTAAACTAAGACATTACTAAAAATATGGTAAATGGAAGTATTAAAACAAGAATTTAATAAATATCACCAAAAATAAATTTTAAAACCATTTCAGTGTTTAAAATGCAAAAAGAGTAGTTTTTAAGGCAAAAACGCAAAAAAAACAAAAACAAAAAAAAACAAAAAACAAAGTCCTCGGTTTTTTTGGCAAAAAAACAAGAACCAAAAAAACGACTTACATCTCTATACAGTACCATCCTTCAATTCCTGTTTCATCATTTGTATTAGGTAAATATTGCACATAAACTTTATACTTTGTAGAACCAGAATGACGAGATCTGATAACAAGAAAAAGAGCTTTTGATTTCCCTATCCATTGAACACTTTTGCATATGGCCAATTCATATTTACCATTATTGAAATGTTCAGAAATGTAGCTTAAGCATTGTCTAACTTGATATGAGCCTAAAGTTATGTTGTTTTTTATTGTTTCTTTAAGCAATTTCGGAAAATCAAGTACAAATGGTGCTTCAATGTTTACAAACAAATTTTTTTTGTTTAGTTTTTCAGTTTTGACCAGCTTTTCCAAACTATTCTCTAAATAAAGCTTTACTTTCATATTTTTAATAATTGTTTGTTTGTCATCCTGGTCTGAGTAAAGGTGCTTGGAAAATCTATTAGAAAGGGATGCTGCAAATCTTTAGTCGGTGTGTTCGGGGCAAACATTTATTGCGCGCTTTATCTAAGGCTCTAAACAGTGTTTTTAGAAATGAATTTGTAACTTCAATTACCCAGCAACACTTGGTAACCATTCTAGATTGATTAGCTTGTAATGGTGTCAATTGTTTTTGAACTTTTTCTTTGCATGTAGACATATATATTCTATGCATGTAGTCTCGAAAGCCTCTATCAAGTAATGTAATATCACCAGGATGAAGCAATTTTTTAAGGTTTTGGTCAAATAAAAGTACATCATTCATAATTGAAGCATCATTTTTTGTTGCCTCATGAAGTCCAAATACATTATAACTTTTCCATTTAATATCGAAAATAAAAAAGGTTTAGCCAAATGTTTTTTTTCTGTACGCTGAATGTTTTTCGTTGAAAATAATTGTTGCTACTCAATAATAAATTGCCCTAAAAAGAATTAAAAATTTTTTAAGAGTTATTAATGTGGCATATGAAACAATAGCGATGAAAAGCAGTTGTTCGAGGTATATCCACCAAGATTGATGCATTTTTTTCGCTTCCTTCTTTGGTTTTTTTTTTAGCTCTATCAATTCTTTTTTAAACTCAACAAGAAAACCTTTTGAAGACTTTAATCTTCAAAAGGTTTTCTTTTTTAAATTCCGACACTTGAGTTGTTTCAAACTTTTCAGGCAACTCAAGATTCTCTGTTTGAAAATCAAACAACTGAGTCACTATAAATCCACTTAACAGTGAATTTATTTCCTTATTCTCCTTTTTCCGTGCACTTTCGATACAAGCAGCACAGCAATGTGTTCCAAGCTCAATAGTATTTTTGTTTTTGTTGATTGTTTCTTTTATTTCATTTAGGAATAATAACATTGTTTCTAATAAAACTCTATATATTCCACGCTTATTTTTGACTTTATCCAATCTTTTGAAACAACATCCGCATCTATATTCCCGTAAAGTTATTTCACTCATTTTTAGTTTAATCTTGAAAAAAATTAAACCAAGTTTGTTCCAAACTGTTAATCTTTTCATTTTGACACTTTATAATTTTAAAACAACTTTTTTATATTCCCGTTGGGAATTCTCTTCTGTTGGAAATTCTCTTTAATAGCATTAAGTCTAAAGTACAGTCGATTAAGTCTAACGTCTAGAAAATTGCGGGACTTTTTTAAATTTTTTTATTTTACTAAATAGGTGGTTACTTAATTGTAATAGTTAATAATTATATATAAACAATTATTATTAATTAATCGTATGCATTATAGTCAAAATAATAGTTTTATAGTAATTTTAGACATTTAAACACAAATAAAAAGGGGCAAAAACTTGATAGCTATACGCCTAACCTCTTTGATAAATAAGTTTAAATTTTTTTGAAATGAATATTATTTTTGAAATTTTTATATAATCTCCCTTCATTTGAGTACCATATTTTTGAAAAAATTATTTTTTCAAAAATATTAGGGACCCATTAAATATTTGAGGGTCTTGAGGGACCTCTTAAAATATTTTTTATTCAAAAAAATTGTAAACCTAGTGCTTTTGTATTGTATTTAGCAAAAATTTTTTAACAATTATAACTAAAAATTCCAGGTAAGAGTTCATTAATATGTAGTTGAAATTGGTCAAAAAATGGATAAAACATTTAGCAACCTATTATTGATTAAAAATCGACGTTTGATTTGAAATGTATATTTCAAACTTTTTTTCTATATACATTTACTAAATACTAAAATATAACATTTAGAATATCGACTTACATTAGTCAATATTGTAAACCTTTAGTTGACCTCAATTAAACGTAAATATTTATAGATTTTTTTTTAAAATTATTTACCTCCCCAAGGCCCGAGGGGGCCACTACAGTCAAGGAGGCTACTCTTTTTTTTCTTTTTTTTTTGTTGTTGTTGTTGCTGTTGTAAATCGTGGTACAACCCTCTCTCAACTCTTGCTGCTGCGCGGAGAAATTAAGTTGAGCGCGGTACTTCTAGGGACATGGTGGGAGTCGAACTCCGAACTTCTCGCTTACAAAGCAAGCGCTCTTACCACTACAACACTACCGCATTAACTAAAATCTACGCTTTAAATCTTTTAATATATACATTTATTAAACGTCGATCAAACGTTTACAATATTGACTAATATAAGTTGTTATTCTAAATAGTAAGCGACCGGGGTTGATATTTGACCGGGGCGGGTTTGATAAAACATAGCCAGGGACGGGTTTGTGACCGGGGCTGCAATAATATTGATATTCCTTATAAATATATTATTGTTATTTAAAACTCATGATATATTTTATATAAAGGTATATATATCATCTTATCGTCATCGCCATCATCATCATCATCATCATCATCATCATCATCATCATCATCATCATCATCATCATCATCATCATCATCATTATTATCATCATCATCATCATTATCGTCATCATCATCATCTACATCATCATCTACATCATCATCATCATCATCATCATCATCATCATCATCATCATCATCATCATCATCATCATCATCATCATCATCAAGCATACAGTTAATGATGATGATTAAGATGATTCTGATGATGACAGTGATCATCATCATCTTAATCATTGGCATCATTATCATCTTCTCTGATACACACTATAAATATAATTACTACTCTCATACTATCTCTAAGATCATTGCTTTTCTTCCTATCTTTTAAAGACACCATATATCCATCTGATCTACATTGTTCTTTCCGGATGAAAGAACAAACAAGCCAGCAACCTGTCAGTGGCCATCATGTAATAAATTGATTATTTGAAATTTTTAAACAAAGTTAATAATTTGAAGAAATATTTAAAAATTGCTAACAATCAGAGTGTTTAAAATATCCTAAAATAAATTTCATAAGATAAATTTATTGTAAAATTGCATTTACATTTAAAATGTAAGTAACTTTTTAATTGTAATTTTAATCATTAGAATTACATAGTTGAGCTATTCAAGTATTTAAATGTAAAGAAATTGATAAATACTAGAAAATAGTTGAATTTATTTTTGTTAGCCCCGGTTAGTTACCTGCAAATTGTGTTTGTTTAGCCGGGGCCGGGTTTGCAAAAACCTCTGTTTTTAGCCGGGGCCAGGGCCGGGGCTGGGGACCCGGTCACTTACTAATTCTAAACGCTTGATCAACGTTTAACAAATTAAAATATAGTAATATAGCCATTAGTCAGAACATTCACATGACAGCTTGAGTCACACGGTTTAAATAGGCATAATTAAAATAAAATTTGACATAATTTAAAAAATTTACTGCTGAAAAATTATTTTTTATTAGCTAAATAATTAAATTAGACTTAAATGTGTTTTCAAGATTCACTTCCTTACAACAACTGAAAGCAAAACGACTGATAAATAAATAATAAACGAGTTTCAGGTTCGCCATTTTAGATTACTGCAAAAGACTTTTTTTGCAGTAATCTACATTCCTAAATGTCAAAAAATTAATGGACCCCGATGTTTTAGAAATTATTGATGGCCACATTGACACGGTTAAAAAATATGAGTTGCTGATCTTTCGTTATGAAGGTCCTGCTGCAAGAACTTTATTCGTAAGTTTTATAAACAGTTTAAATTAATTTCGTTAACGCTAGTATGATTGTATAATAGTAGGTATTCATCTTTGCTATAATCAAGTGGTTTAATAATTAAATAATTATTTTTTTATTTTAAATGTATTTTAACTTAATTTATTTACATTTGCTAAAGAAAATTGGTGGAACAGAGCTGGTAAAAACTACTGTATACTGTAACAAGCGGTAGACGACATACTAGGAAGTTTGATAAAGCATAAACCAGAAAAAACAGTGGTCCAAAATATATAATTATGAGTTCATTAATTTTGTTAGTAATCTTTAACTTAATCTTAATGTAAACTTTTATTTTCTGCTAATGAGATTAAATTTTAAAAATATTTGATAGAAATTGTTACTATAAAATTTCCACTGCAAAAAGCTTGATCATTTAACTTTTTTTTAATTATCAAGGCATAAACAAGTTTAGTGCACAAACATTTATTATCTAAATCTCCACTATGTGAAAACGTTTTATATAAGTTTATAACTTTATATAGTTTTATAATGTAAAGGTATTGTATAAGAGGTATAGTATAAAAGTTTATAAACATTATAATAGTTATAAAAAATATAAAAAATAAGGCCAGGTCTTTTATAACTATATGTTATTTATAAATTTCATTGCTTTTATAACTATATGTTATTTATATATTTCAAGACCTATATAGCTCTTATTACTTACATAAAGTTAAAAAAGTTATAAAGTAATTTTAATTTATATAAGTTTTTAAACTTATATAAATTAAAGTTACGTTTGAGCTCAAAGAAACTATTAAACAAGATCTAAAAGTTTAAATATACATTTATTTAGACTAAATTTAAACACTTTATATACATTAATTAGACTAGATTTAAATGTAAATTAGACCAAATCTGAACGTCTTATACATGTATAATTCTGTAATAGACGTTTAAAATACATTTGATTATAGACATTTTATGGGTGTTTGTTCTAAATGTTAGTCTGGATTTCATACTAAACGGATAATCGACCAAATCTAAACATTTTGTCAAAACGTTGTTTTTATGTTTAATAGAACTTTGTGTGTATAATGGGAAGATGAGTAAAATATATTTATAAGAAAAATTTTAACAAATATTTTAATTTTTTCTCTAAACACAGAAGGCCTTTCATATAAAATTATACACAACTGAAGATTTTATATGAAAGGCCTTCTGTGTTTAGAGAAAAAATTAAAACATTTGATAAAATTTATCTAATAAATATATTTTACTCATCTTAGTTTGAATAGTTTTTCTTTTGTTACCTGGAATTTTTACTCATATATATATATATATATATATATATATATATATATATATATATATATATATATATATATATATATATATATATATATATATAAATATATTACAATTAATTATTAATTTTGATAATAATTTTTAAATATAAAATTTAAAAATTATAATTTATAAATCAAATCTATGAGCATAACATGAATAGATATCAAACCGTGATGTTTTTCTGTAATACAATTGAGTATAATAATATATTATTCCTAATGGTAAAAGAAGCAAAGTGAACCAAGGTACACCATAACAGGTCACCACTATTGCTCCAACTAATCCAATAAAATTTGCAAAAAAAATGTTCATCATAAATGGAAGGTTATCATCTACAGAATACTAAAATTAAAAAAAAAAAAAAAAAATTAATATATATTTCATAATTATATATATATTAATTTTTTTATATAATATATAAAAAAATTAATATATATAATATATATTAAAAAATTAATATATATTATATATATATATTAATTTTTTGATATATAATATAAAAAAATTAATATATATATAATAATTAGTTTCTTTAAATAATTAACAATATTTATTGAATAACTATCCATTTTCCTGATAATAACTATCCGAAACAATTAACTTAATTATATTTACCAAACACAACTATAACTTTTAAAAACAAAACAATTAAATTAAATATATAAAATAAATTAAAAAATCAGATTATACCACATCAGATGAAAACCTATTGATAATTCTTCCAACCTGAAAAAAAAAAAAAAAAAAGTATAAAACATTTTCAAACGTTCAAATAACATTAGCATAGAAAATAACTTGAACTAATGATCTTCAACTAATGATCTTCAATAATGATCTTAAACAAACAAGTTAAAACATGGATAAGTCTTTAGTAAAAAACTTTTATATGATTTCTTATGGGAAGATTTTAAACTGTAAATGTTCAAGTAATATGGAGTTTTTTCATTTTGTTTCACATTAAATTAAAATACTATTAAAATCCTAATATTAATGTTTATTAAATAATAATAATAATAATAATAACAATATGTAATAAATTTTCTATAGCAGTTCTAATGATGCAATATTTAGCAATATCAAACTTAAAAAAGTAATTTTTAAAAATTATTTACTGACTTTGTTAAGTATTAATATATTTTCTGAGAAACTGTGAAATGGTTGAGCTGTGTTTTAAAGACACAAATTTTACAGTGTATAAGAACTATTTATTCATGTTTCACACATAATTTGATAACTTTTTTGGAAATTAATCCTGTTTTAAAAAAGTACAAACTTTAAGTTTTCATGAATTTCAAAAGTTTTGTGGTAAAATTATTTTTCAATTCAGTTATGAAAAATATATTAGTTAACATTTTTATTTACAATGACATCAGCTGAATTTTATTATGATATCAGCTGATTATGTTATATTATTATGGTGACATCAGCTAAATTTTATTAATTTAATTTATGCCAACATCAGCTGAATTCTTTCTAATTTTATTATGATGACATCAGCTGAATTTTATCAACTCTATTACATTTTGTTTCTTTATAACAGATAATATTAATAATCCAAATTTTAACATATTACAAAATTAGCAACAGGACTTCTAGAAGATCATGAGGATCTTATCATGAAACTTTTTACAATGATTTTTAGTAGCAATTTTTAGTATGAAGTTATAAAAATTTGTAAAATAACAAAAACAATAGCATAAAGTTTAACAAAACATAGTAATAAATAACAATAAAACAGGAAAGTAAAATCTATTAGATAAGTAAATTTGCAAAGAAAATAAAATCCATAAGATAGGTAAATTTGCAAAGAAATCATAGAAATATTTGTAAATAATAAAACATAATACAATAAAGTCTAATATAATGAAAATAATAAAAAAAACAAACAAAAAAATAAACTCAAAAATAGATAAAGATGGTTTCAATTGAAAAGATAATTTCTTTAATTTTAATTTTTAAATGCAATTAATTCAATTCGATTGAAAAGCTAAAATTAGGTAAAACTATTTTGTTCCAAAGAAGAGGTCCATGATAAGGCATACAATTTAGAATTTACAATTGCATTTAGTTTTGCAAAAAGGAACATTGAAATTGTTGTCAATTTGTAAATTATAGTTTTTAGCTTTTAAAGAATAAATATATTGAAATACCTGCGGAATTATATTTTCTTATGAAACTAATTAAATTTTTTCTTTTTTTTTTTAAAAAAAACAAAAACTTTATTGAGTAAGTTTTCAAGTTAATTAAAAAGTTTTTTTTTATATGTTTAATTTTTATTATTTTACTTCATTTTTTTTGTTCTTTGTTTTATTGACTGATTTTTATTGACTGATTTTTATTGACTGATTTTTATTGACTGATTTTTATTGACTGATTTTTATTGACTGATTTTTTCAAGCATAGTGAGTAAACATTGATTGAATAATTTATTAAATTATAGTGAAAAATTAATTATAGTGAAAAATTATAGTGAAATCAATTATAGTGAAAAAATAAAAAATAATACATCAAACAAGTTAAATTAAAATCACTGCTTTAAAAAACATTCTTTTAAAGCTATCACGTGCTTCAAACATTCTATGTCTGAAGCATGTTATAGTTTTATTCCTAAAATTGAATTAAGCATTAATCACATTAAATTACAGACCAATTTCTTTTTTCTCCATGTAAATGTTTAGAGGATATTACTTGCGATTCTTTTACCTACATAGTAATAACTTGATCTCACTTAAACAAGTAAAATCAAAAATATAAACTAAAAACCTCTGTAAATTATGCTAATAAAATGCATATATAAAAATGACTTAGAGATACAAGAGACAAGTTAATTTATTTTATTTTAATTTTTCTACAAAACCAGTATAATTTGTCATCATATAAATGTTACAATCGCAATTTTTAAAATGCTATAAATATATTTATAGCATTAGTTAATAATTAGTTAAAATAATTTATAGTAGGTCCTGGGTAGCATTTTAAAAATATCTGGTTACCTGATATCTGAATAATGTAAAATTATTTGGACCGATATTTTTTTTAGATATTCATTACAAAATCTACAATGCATATTTTATCAAGTCAAATACTTTAAAATATTACCACAGTAAATATTTTAAAATAAAAAGTTTTGTTCAGAAGCTTTTTAAAATGATCCCTCTGAATCAGTTTGCATTATATGAAGAATTATTAAGCATTATCAATTACACAACTCCACTGCAATCACATCAAAAACTTTTATTTAAAAATGTATGAAAAGGAAAGATAAAGTAAAACTGAATCTTTAACTTTTCCAACTCTGTAAGATTGTTTAAAAGGTAGAATGTTAATTGTAAAGAAAATGTGTGAAATGAAAAAGCAAATGTCTATCAAAGTTTGAGTATTCATCAAAAAGATATGGGATTTTAATGATGAAAATACAAAGCAAATACATAAAAAATAGCTGCGATGATAGCTTTAGATAACCAACAAAATAGTATTAATACTACTAAATGGATGGTTATCATATACTGCTAAAAGAACTAGCCCTTAAATTATTAGCCAGCATCTTTTGCATTTTCAGAGAGATTGCATTAAAAATATGGAAATATTTATGAGAAAAAGAAATAAAGGCTGTTACCTCAACACAAAGAAATGCTATTATGTTTAAACATTATAAATGTTTATATATTATAATTGTTTATACACTATAATTGTTTATATATTAAATTGTTTATACATTATATTTGTTAATAGATTATAATTGTTTATATATTATAAATATTTACACATAATTGTTTATACATTGTAATTGTTTATACATTATAATTGTTTATACATTATAATTGTTTATACATTATAATTGTTTATACACTATAAATGTTTATACATTATAATTGTTTATACATTATAATTGTTTATACATTATAATTGTTTATACATTATAATTGTTTATACACTATAAATGTTTATACATTATAATTGTTTATACATTATAATTGTTTATACATTATAATTATTTATACATCATAATGCAAATAAATTCATAAATGAGTGATAAAATCTGTATTTCTTGTGCACAGGTAATTACAAAATTAGCAACTTTTAGAAGATCATGAAGATCTTATCATGAAACCCTTTACAATGATTTTTAGTATTAATTTTTTATACTCTAAAGTTAGTGTACTAGATTCTCTCATTCTGTTAATTACCAAATGGTTTGATCACACCTAAAGCTTTAAGACACCAAAAGTTTTTTATTATTGATTAATATGAAATATCCATTTTAACCAACTAGATTATTTTAATATCTGGCTGGATACCGGATAAAACACAAATCTGACTTAAATATACTATTGAATATTCAACTCAGAACACCCCTACATTATAGCCTCATAAATGTTTTATCTTAAACACCATCAGAACATCTTAAACACCATCAGAACACCCCTACATTATAGCCTCATAAATGTTTTATCTCAATGAATATGGTAATAAAATGGTATTAACAAGCATGGTATAAACAGAAAACTTCTACAATTTTGTTAAAGAGAATTAAAAGTAGCTGCAATTTAAAAACTATTAAGCATCAAAAAGTCAAGAGGGGGGTCTTAAATGATAACATTTAAAATGTAGCGGGTGTCTTATATGATAACATATTGATATGGAAAAATGTCTAGTAATGAATTATGATCCAACTAATCCAAATCATACTTATATAATGGATGGTAAAGAAAACTATTTTAGAAAATTATTTAGAAGTTTTTTATATGTGGAAACAATGAAAAACAACATCTGCATCAAAAGAAAATTTAATTTTCAAACATTTGTAAACTTAAACAAAAAATTACTTAAAATACTATATAAAGTGTTGGTGAATATTAAATTTGCAAACGTATAAGAAAAAAAAAGTGAGCAAGTTAATTAACTTCTCATTTTTGTCATTAAATGTCTCATTTTTGCAGTATTCTGATGAATTTAGTTTTTTTTTAAAGTTTAATTAGTTTTTCAAAATTTAGAATTTTTTATCCTTTAGTTTAAATTTATATGAATTATAAAAATCTATATACTTATGTATATCTTTAACAGGTTATTGAACCCTTAGTAATAAAAAATTGACCCTACAATTAAAAGTAATTTCTTATGCATCACTTTAGCTGCATTAATAAATGCATATGCAAAAAAAAATGAGCTAGAAAATATTACCAACTAAAAAAAAGTTTAAAAAATTATTTTGATTACAAATTTGTTATAAATTTTTATAACAAATTAAAAAACTAACAAGACAGACCCTTAATATTATCCAAAATAAGTTTTCAATCTATATCTATCTGGATCATAAAGAGCAAATTTTTAAAAAATTTTTAAAAATAACTTTTACTAAAAAAATCAATAAAAAAAAAATTCTTTTTTTGTTTGTTTAAAAAAATGCTTTCATTGGATAAAAAAATTGTTTGATGCAATAAAATCTTTACTAAAAAAAATCATCTTTTAATATTAGAAACCCATCTCATGTCTAGGGGTCTAAAGCAACTCCTTAATATTATCTGAGTATAAAAAAATGCTTTGCGCAGTTAACTACTATACCATTTGTCACTAAAAAAATAACTGTGCATCTGTAACAGTTTGACATAGAGAGTTTCTATGAGTTTATGTTTGATCTTAATTTTAACATTTAATTTTGGATAAAAAACAACAGTTTATAGAAATAAAATTTATATACATACACACACACATATATGTGTGTGTATAATATACATATGTATTTTATATATATATATATATATATATATATATATATATATATATATATATATATATATATATATATATATATATATATATATATATATATATATATATATATATATATATATACATATATATACACAGTGGTGTACACTGGATTTTTAGATGTTTGAGTTTTAACATTTACAGGCATTGTGCAAACTCCAAACTTTTGCATGTTCATGCTCATGTCAAATGAGAATGTTTTGCAAAGAATTGCAGTGATTGGAGCTTGGGGACAAAAATTCCTCAATTTTTGAGCCCATCCAGCCCTTAACGCGGGAGCAACAAGTTGATAAAATAATTTCTTTAATATTTTTATCTAAGTTTATATTCATTAACAAATTTCAAATTTCATGCAATAATCTCTTATTTTTCGAAAATTAAGACCATATAAAGTTTTAACCCCCCTCAATTTGAGGGGGGCTGTAAATTTTGTAGGATCATAAAAACTAAACACTAAGAGGTTATTGCATGAAATTTAAAATTTGTTGATGAATATAAATTTAGATAAAAATACTAAAGAAATTATTTTATAAACTTGTTGCTCCCATGTTAAGGGCTGGGTGGGCCAAAAATTGGGGTTTTTTTGTCCCCAAGCTTCAATCACCACAAATCTTTGCAAAACATTCTCATTTGACATAAGCATGAACATACAAAAGTTTGGAGTTTGCACAATGCCTGTAAGTGTTAAAACTCAAACATCTAAAAATCCAGTGTACACCACTGATATATATATATATATATATATATATATATATATATATATATATATATATATATATATATATATATATATATATATATATAATATATATATATATATATATATATATATATATATATATATATATATATATATAATGGTAAAAAAAAAAAACATCAAAAAATGTCATAACAGGATAATCATACATAGATAAATAAAGGATAATCATACATAAATAAATAAAAAAAATCAATGATTTTTAAAAACTAACCGGAGTTTTGTCAAAAAATGAAAATGATTTCTTCATCATTGTACATAGTAATTTCTCATGCATTACTCTAGCTGCATTTATACCTGCATATGCAAAGAGAAATGCTCTAGCAAATGTTAAAAACTAAAAAAAAAAAAACTATTTTCATTACAAATTTTAAATAAATCTTTAATAAATACTTATAAACAGGACATACTGAGTTTGCAATTCCAATACCAGAATAAATTTTTAAATAGTGCAAGGTAATACTTGATGTATTATTCAATGAGCTTGATTGGTTGCTATTCAATAAACTCGATTCCTTACTAATCCAAAATGACAACCACCAATCGCTTACATTTTTTGAAGCTAAAAAATAAAAATAACTAAAAAGTAAAAAAATAAATAAAATAAAAAAACAGCAGTAATATGTAAAAATTTCATTTTATAAATATTATATGAAGTGTTCCTTGTTACTTAATATGGTTAACCATATTAAGTAACAAAATTTTGAAAACTGAGATAAATATTGATCCTTAACTGAGATACCTATTGAAATAATATAATTGAGATAAAACTGAGATATATATTACTCCATATGAGATTTGGAGCTAAAAGTTGTTTTTATTTTGGCTCAAAAACACTATAACCCTGTAGAAAATTGCAAAACAGGGTAAAAAACCAAAAATCTACAGTGAGCAGTAAATATGACTCGCTGAAACATAGAACTGGTGATCAACTGTTTATTTTTGGTGGTTAAAATTCTTTTTTTTCCCATTTTTTTATTTTTTTGTTTCAACAGTTACTGAACTTTGTAAATAAAAATACTTTTTGTTTATTTAATGTTTTAAAGGTATCACTTTTCACATTTAAAAATCAAATGATTTTCTTAACAAAAACTCACAACAAAGTTTTACAATAAATAATTTATAATAACAATTTAAAATAACATTCAATAACTTATAATTCACAGAAGTAACATTAGTCTAAAACAGCTCTTGTGTACGGAATATTTGATCAAATTAAAAACAAAAGATAACAAAGTAATTTTTGATAAATTAACTTGTAAATGACTTGTTAAATATTTTTTATATAATTAAATTAAACTTTTATAAAACTATTATTTAAACATAAGAAAATTATTATTTATGTAATATAGTTATTGCTAATGCTTTCACTAAAATCTTTACTTCTTGATCTCCAAAGTTTATAAGTTTAAGTGATCGTTATCTTTTAATAGCAACAAATGATAGCTGTAAAAAATATGAAATTTTAGCATACGATGATGATATGACATTTAATCTAGTGTGGTAGTTTTTTTTTAGCACACAAAATTAAAATTAGTAAGTATTAAATTATTAATTCAAAATACTTTGGTTTAAAATTAATTAGATATTATGAAATTTTAGTATTTTTTAAATACATCCTGGTTATTTTAAAAATTTATTTGTTTAAAACTCCAATTTTAATCATTTTGATAATTGACCATTGCCTGCTCAAAATTATGTATGCTATCGCACACTCTGTTGAACTTTTTTCTCATAACATGTTAAATTCAATTTAATTTCTTGCTAAAGAGTGGTAACACTTTTAAGTCAATCAAATCTTTGGTGCTTATCAGATGACAAGTACGTAGAAACATACAGCTTTTACTAATTTTGATATTTTTATTATGAATACAAAAATATTTATTTTAATTAAATGAGTGTTTGATTTAAATCAGAACTTTAGTACATGGCAGTTTTTTTTAAGTATTTAAAACTAATGAAAACAGAAATTCCAAAAATTAGAAGAAAAAAGAAAAGAAAAACTGTGACAACTCATTAAATGGTAAACAACAGGTAATCTCTTGTAAAAATTTAAACAAATTTCATAAAGATTCAAAAATTTAAACAAATTTCATAAAAAATCAAAGCACTTGATAACTTTTACTTAAAAAAGTTCTAAAAATTTTTACTGATTATAACATATCAAATGGTAGCAAATTAGTAAGGGTTTTTGCAAAAATATTCTGTTCAATATTTCATATTTGAAGCACTAGAGTGACAAAGTAAAGTTAAATCACAATATTTCCAGACTTAAAAAAAGAAGTGGAAAAAAGCAGAATCCCAAATACAACAAGTATGAATAAGAAGATAATGATTTCAAAATACACAAAAATTCAAAACATGCAAATCAATAAATCTGTTGGCAGAAGTTAAATACTTCTTTTAATATAGTGTTTTTTATTATTCACTTCAATTTAGGCTTTGGTTCTTTCCATTCGAAATTTGTTTTTTTTTGTACAAAATATAAATTCTCAATAAATATTAAAATTTTAAAACAATGTTTCAAAGAAGTTTAATTTTATACTTAAAGCGAATACCAAAAAAAAGGAGGTTTTAACATAATTGGTAAGCAACTGCATCTCAAAGCGATAACAATACAAAACAAGATGAAATGATAAAAAAATATTGTTTCAATAAAGCTGATATAAAAGAAAAGAACAAGAAAGAATTTTTTTTTATTTTGAAAA